CCCTCTAACGCATCCTAATTTGGCTACTAGCTACAACAACACCGGTCAAGTGTATTCTAACATGGGAGAGTACTCCAAAGCATTCGAGTACTATGAGAAAGCGCACAACATCTATAAAAAATATCTTCCTCCAACACATCCTGATTTGGCTATCAGCCACACCAGTATCGGTGGAGTGTATTTAGATATGGGAGAGTACTCCAAAGCACTCGAGTTCTATGAGAAAGGTCTAGAAATTAGAAAGAAATCTCTCCCTTCAACGCATCGGGATTTGGCTATCAGCTACAACAACATCGGTCTAGTCTATTCCAACATGGGAGAGTACTCCACAGCACTCGAGTACTATGAGAAAGCGCACAACATCTATAAGAAATCTCTCCCCCCCAACGAATCCTGATTTGGCTGCCAGCTACAGCAACATCGGTCGAATGTATTCCAACATGGGAGAGTACTCTAAAGCACTCGAGTACCATGAGAAAGACCTAGAAATCCTGAAAAAATCTCACCCTCCAACACATCCCAGTTTTGCTGGAAGTTACAGTTATCTTGGTAGACTGTATCGTTCATTGAAAGATTATCCCAAGGCTTTAAACTATTTCGAGGCAACGCTCAAAATTGACAAAGAAGTACTACCAGAGACACATCCAAACTTGGCAATAACGTACAGTAACATTGGAGACGTTTATCGATTGACTGGCAACACAAAAGCAGCGTTGACGTTCTTGCAAAAAGCAGTGGAAATTCAGACAACAGTAGCAGTGGACCGTACTTCTTTGGCTTGGACATATAACTACTTGGGAGAAACGCATCGTCTGATGAAAGAGTATTCAGTAGCGTTGGATTTTCATGGAGAAGCTCGACAAATCCGTGAGGAATGCCTCCCTGCAACGCATCCTGATTTGGCACAAACACAACACAATCTGGCAAGAATCTATAAGGAAATGAGACAGTATGAAATGGCCTATGAACATGCTCAGCGCGCTGTAGAAATCGCTCAGCAGCAGCTGTCACAAAAACACCCTGATCTCTTAGAATACATAGAAACATTATCAGAATTGCGAAAGAAGTTGTAAACACGACTTTAATTATTTGCGCTCTAATAAATGTATTGATTCTAGCAAATGACTCTAAGAAAATAAATTCGCTGACGCCTACAGTGGAATCTACTCTGTTCACATCAACACTATTTGAGACGCGTTTGACGAGACATAGATCTGTATGGGTGTGAGTGTGTGTGTTTTTGGTTGATTGATCGAATACGACAACCACATCCTCAAGGGTAAGTGAGGTCTAGGAATTTGAATCTAAATCTAGTTTTATTTATATTTTCTTTTTTTGCAAGAAACGATTATACAAAACATAAAAATACTTTAAATTTGTGGGTTTACTCATGCCAGACTGATATCATATAATCACCTACGTTGCATATGCGCTTCTGTTTTTCTTATGTCAGGCAAAGAATGTAAAGAAAAGATCAAACTACGTAATGTAGCGTGATAGAAAAGACACGTATTAAAGGCATTCATCCATACCCCGACCTAATATCATGTGTATGCAATGACTCGGTTGGTGCATCTAAGTAAATATTACTTGGAAAAAACCAAGTAACTTTATTGAATGTAGAAATACCAAGTAGTTTGCTATTTACATACATAAAAACAACTTCAATATGTTTCAACATTAGTTTCCATCGTAAGTATATCTAATTATCCATTTCTCTACGAAACGCGACACTTCAGGTAGAAGCATTTATTTCACAATTCGAAATAAATGTTTATCGCATGTTGTAGAGCAAACTTAAAAGCGTAAGAAATTGTTTTAATCTGTGAAAAATTTGTTTCTGTAAATCTATAAAATCTATAAAATGTATACATTAATCATTAATTTCAATATTGTATGATACAATGTATTCTGTCTTACGTTGAATGTATCCTTACACCTACATGTCAAGCTCCGAACTCTATAAAATGTTATGAAAGATTTTACTATATTGATTATGGAAACAAAAGTACGATTTCGGTCTGAATTTTCTTCTCAAACGTACAATAATGTATTTTCTTTAGTTCAGAAAACGGTCAGTGAAACCGTTGGATTCACACTACTTGAGCTATTACTGCAGGTCGATTTCTAAGAATTGTCAGATATGCATAGACTCCAACCATAACATACAGACTATTCTACTATAACTTTATTGTAATAAATGAGTTACTCAAATAACGACGAGTATGTCTGCTACCAAATTTCAAAATATTTATGAGACTTGTACAAATAAAAATGAAAAGTCCAAACCTTCTTCACGTTTTGTTGCATCCTTACGCGGTCAAAATTTCTTGAACTTTTTCTCATGGCGCTATGTAAACTTCCGTCTCATACGCAGACGATCTGGCTTGGTGCACCTGATGTGAGTTTGAGTTCTTAATATCTAAAACGAAGCGAATTTGCTTGGTCAGAAGTCTGTTCATGCATAGTCAGCAAGACAGCTTTACGGTTTGCCGAAAATCTAGAGGATTCTACAAATTTCACACTTTTCTCGATCGAATGTCGAAATAGAAAATCAATCGCATACCACTCTCACTCGAACTTAGATAAAATTAGGTCTATCATTTTAGTCAGTTCGAATGAGTTTATCTGCTGATTTGTTTACACTGGATCAGTAGTTTTATTTTACTGCTCTCTATGACACAAATAGTCGACATATAAACTTGTCTACTTTGATATTTTTCATTGAAAATAGAATATAAACGTACATATCATGATCATTCATAGACGTCATATTATAAACAAAAACAATGAAAAAGAAGAAAAATAAAGAAGGACGATGTCTATTCGAATATAAGATAACAGATATCACCTTATTTGCACACAAAGAACAATAAAAACACATGATACAAGCATTATTTAGTATAGGAAGAACTAGACAGAATGCACTGTTGTCACAGACTTCTTTGTTCCAGTAAGATGTTAATGGATTCATCATATAATCAAATATATTTTATATTTAGTTCATATCTTTATCGTAATAATTTATGCACAAATATTATACCAATGTAGCTTTGACAATGATACAATAATCACTTCATGTCTTAAACCAGAACAACTTGCTGGAGCGCTTATTAGTGAACAACTGGGAACTGCTGGTATAGAACCACCTATTTCACCTCTTTCTGATGTCACATCTAGTCGTATGATTAATTACGTAGTATCTCTTTCACAAACATTCTAGTTTTCACTTTCTAGTTAAACCAACAACTAATGGTGAATTATGCAATCTACCTTATAAAATCAATTCTTTCACTTGGGATATGTACTTTTGTAATGAGGGTTATTGTCAAACATCAACAGACTCAACTTCAAAATGTTCATCAGGTAATTTGATTAAAACTTTTTAAAGCTACATGTTTTTATTGTATTTTAGGCCAATTTGGGTACTTTAATTTTCAAGCAGCAAGAAAAGTTAGTTTCACTCTGAATACTGCCTCAGGTGGTGCAGATGGTACCGATGAACAATGTCTGATCTATTATTATTATTTATCTAACGTAACAGGAACAGTGCAAAGCATTACAGTACGCAAACAAGAAGTAGGAGACGTTAGTGAAACAATCGATATTGTAACAAGTAGTCCATATAATGGATGGATAAAGCGTCAAGTATCATTTCATACTTCAAATGGCGGTTGTAAAGTAAGATGTTTAGTTGATAGATAGTTTTTTATGTATAATGTTTGGTACTATTCAGATCTACTTTGATTTTGAGAGAATATCTGGACCAAATGGTGTTACTACTATAATTGCTATTGATGAGATATCAGTACTTCAAGGCAATTGTCGTATGTATAAAGACATTTAAAGAATGATTTGTAACTGGTAATTTTGTTTTAGCTAGTGAACCAGTTACTCAAACAACGACAGAAATTTTAGTAGGAACAACAACTTCATTAGCAACAATAACTGAGTCAGATTTAACTACAATTGGAATAACAAGCATATCAACAGTAATATAACACTTTATTTTGATAGAAATCTATACGAGAATATATGCGTTAGTTTCGGATTTTATGTAGTTTCAAATTGAACTACAAAATATGCGTAGCCTTAACGAAGAACAGTATATTTATGTTAGATTTGTATAACCGTCACATATTTTTAGAAAGGATGCGCAACTAAATAGTAGTATGTTTCAAACTCGATTCCATTCAAACAACTTCTTTATTGAACATTAGATTTCTAATAAAATTCTTTTATTTACATCTATCATATGAACAAGTCGAGATAAATTTTGAATACATACATAATGACAAGTTTCATATAAGTTCTAAAGAGACTAATCGAACGCACGCGATTCTTTGGTGTTTTGAAGTTAACTCTCATAGTTTATTGCAATATATCTTCGAAGAAGACTGATGTAGAAATGATACTTATAATATAAATTGATAGGGAGTTAGAATTAATGTAAAAATGCTTATTAGCTTCTTATTATAAGACATTTTGAAATTTTTCAATTGTATGACTTATTCCGATATCAACTACGATAGTGCATTACTTCTTAAATATACTATCAAAAATAGCAACAAATAATGTTAACGTCATTTTGTTTTATTGATACCAGCTAGAATTAATTATTGTTTTTTAAATCAGCTATAATCTACAGTCGTAAGTTATTTAAAATGGCATTCTGTGAATTTAGCTTCTAACTCTAAAAATCAAAACGTCTTTTATACATACGATCGGTATTCAAAGACTCTGTGTTCAGTATTATAAAGTAGTCATACATTATTTATTTATTTATTTTACTGAAAATAATATGTGAAATATTTTTGTAAGTATCGTATAGACATAGTTATCAATCGAAAAATAAACGTAACTTTAAGTAAATAGTGCCAATACTACTAACATTGTTGATGAAACATCTGTTTACAAGCGGATTGTGCCTATAATATTTCATAATACTTGAACTAGATTGTGCTCCGATAGTATAAGAGGGTATGGTATATTGTTATGTTAGATAAAGTTAAGAAGAGTATCCAAAACAACCTATTTTGAGTTAGTATTACACATAGACGTTATAATAGTGATAAATCGAACTTTATTTCATGACCTTCGCTTTTTATTTAAGCAGCCCATCACTACAACTACAACTATCACCACAACTACTACTACCTCAACCACTACAACTACTACCACATCATCAACTACAACTTCTACTACTTCAACAACTATAATTATTAGTACCACTACTACTACCACAACATCTACTTCTATACAGACAGCAACGAGCACAACTTCAACATCATCGACTGCAAAAACCACGGCTGTTACGTTACCTACAACTACAACATCACTTGCCACTCATATAATAATAACAACAACAGTTACAACGAATCAACCATCACCTACTACAATAATTGCCAGTTCCACATCAAATTCTACAGTATCAACTACACCATCTTCCAAAGTTTATATCATAGTTTTAGCAACTGCCATTCCTCTTGTTGCAGTTACAATTGTTATCCTAATTCTATCGATTAAAAAGTTCATACCATTTAAAAAATCAAAAGTGAATGTGTTTGAAATGAATGAAGTAGTACCAGCACCCATATAAAATATGATTATACATAAAACATTTCTATATAGTTATATGTAAGAACGAAATAGTTGCTGTTTGTTTGTTATTTCTTTATAAATGTTATCATTTTCAAATATCATATAAATAACATCATTAAAATAAACTTTATATACATATTCATCTATATTAATCATAAGACTATTATTGTATTGGAAAATTATCTAGTGGTAAATAAAAGATCTACTCTTCGAAAGATTATAATGTAACAACAAAAACACAGTTTAGTTACTATTTTGATAAGAAAAATTATTTTTAATAGCGTAACTGATGTAATTTATCAAGGCTTTTTTCCTCCATCGTACTAAATTATTATCAACTGACTCTGTTTCTGAAATTGAGAACATTTAGAAAATAAAAAGTAGGATCAATAACAGTTAACTACTAGTTAGCATGTGCAATAATAATACCCTTAGATCTTTACATGAATTCTGATAAGATCGTGAAGAAAGAAATCAAATGAATATACTACTGTGAGTTTAGATATAGTATAATATTGAATGTTAATTTTATAACTAGAGTTATCATGAATGATCTGATAATTGTAGAAAGAATTACTTATTCATAGAATAATGAAATCGTTCAGGCTACGTTTAGTTATATTTATTTTGTTAAGCATGAAATCGAGGAAGCCGGGATTTTCATGCCATTGATATGTCCTGACTTTCAGCTTTTAGTTTGATAAAATTTATCTTTACTGATTTTACATCAAATTTATATTATATGGATATTAATCTCAACTATTTTCAATCTAGTAATATAAGTTTTAAAATAATATATTCTAATTATTTACAAATAGATTTCATCAGTACTATCTACCGATGATACAACTTATAGATAGTATCGAGATTGTTGACTATTTTAAATATGTTCATACTTTTGTCCGAATTTATTTTTAGTTTAACTACATCGTATGACGATAAATCATCTACGATATAGTTTAGATTTTGATGTGTTATATTTTCATATATAAATTATATAATTAAAATATAGGTATGATATCAACAGATAAAATACTCTGAAAAAAAAACTTCCTATTAACAATGTAAGGAAATGTTTCCTAACTTTTTATAGATACCTAATCGTATCACTTGATTTTAATGTCTTTATTTCATGGAGTGATACTACACAATAAGAATCAAGTTCTCTCACCTATATCAATATTTCCTAAACAAGTTCAACAACTGAAATAATCACTACACTGTAGTTATTGACTACGACTTCACTCATAATAATAATACCCATATCCTCCAAAACATCGACAATCATGAAAACTTCACATAACACATCATCATCATCACTATCTTCAATGTTTCTTTCTTCTCTCTCAAATTTTCGAAAAATTAAAAAAACATATAATATCACTCCTACGAATAAAAGCTATATGATTGTTTTCGAAACTGCAATATCTGCTGTGTTATTGCAAGAATTTCATGAGCATCTATGAATTCAAATGATCATCATAATTTTTCATCTGACTTAAAGCTTGATTCTGTTTCATATCTCGGTATATTCATCTCTTTTCATATCATATATATGCAATTCTAACACAACAATAAAAAACTGAGTTTTAAATATTTTCCTCTACATATTTATCTTTTTTTTGTAATCAATGCATTGATTTTACTCAACATTAGTCTTAATTTAAATAACGAAAAGCAAAAAAGTTTTATAAATAAATGTGACTGTTAAGGCAATAATAAAAATGATAACTATCTATATCAACAAATGCACATAAGTTTCTTTCATGTTTCGAGACCCTCAAAAAGCATCGACCCATCTTATTAAGCGAAAGATAACATGCATCTGTTATCACATTAAGAATTCAGTAGTATAGAGGACTGTAACACAGTTGTAATAATATTCACATATCTACTAAAAATATAGAAAAATGAAATATATAATAGATGTTCTATTTTTCTGTAAGATTCTTAATAATATCTTTACCATGTATTTCGATACATTTATTTTATTTAGTGTCTAATTGTTTAATAATAACTTATGCCCAAATATTGTACGAATGTAACTTTGACAGTAATACAATAACAACTTCATGTCTTAAACCAGAACAACTTGCTGGATTGCTTATTAGTGAACAACTGGGAAGTGCTGGTATACAACCACCTTTTTCACCTCTTTCTGATGTCACATCTAGTCGTATGATTAGCTACTTCTTACCTTTTTCATAAACATTTTAGTTTTTCACTTTCTAGTTAAACCAACAAGTAATGGTGAATCATGTAATCTACCTTATAAAATCAATTCTTTCGCCTGGGATATGTACTTTTGTAATGAGGGTTATTGTCAAACATCAACAGATTCAACCTCAAAATGTTCATCAGGTAATTTGATTAAAACTTTTTAAAGCTACATGTTTTTATTGTATTTTAGGCAAATTTGGATACTTTAATTTTCAAGCAGCAAGAAAAGTTAGTTTCACTCTGAATACAGCCTCAGGTGGTACAAATGGTACCGATGAACAATGTCTCATCTATTATTATTATTTATCAAACATAACAGGAATAGACCTAAGCATCACAGTACGCAAACAAGAAGTAGGAGATATTAGTGAAACAATTGATACTGTAACACGTAGTCCATATAATGGATGGATAAAGCGTCAAGTATCATTTCATACTTCAAAGGGTGGTTATAAAGTAAGATGTTTAGCTGATAGATTGTTTTTTATGTGTAACGCTTGTTGTGTGTTGCTGTTTAGATTTACTTTGATTTTGAGAAAACTTTTGGACTACCTAGTCTTACTACTGTAATCAGTATTGATGAGATATCAGTACATCAACGCAACTGCCGTACGTTTGAAGACATTCAAAGAATGATTTTATATAAGTTAATTTTATTTTAGCCAGTGAACCAGCTACTGAAAGCACGCTAACAATTTCAACAACTGGGTCGGATATAACAACAAGGTGAGATCGGACTAAGATTTTTACTCTTATTAATTTTTGATATCATTTCCCATTCTAGTAATATAATCGAAACTATATCAACTGTACAGACAACTGATACAACAGTTACAGAGTCATCATCAATGGTAATATCTTACCTTTTAAACAGTAGTGAAAACTTGGAGTCTATGAATCTTTAGATCACTTCGATGGATCCGACAACAACTGCAATAACAAGCGTATCAACAGTAATATAACACTTCAGTTATTTTGATAGAAATCTATATGAGAATATACCCAGTAATTTCGAATTTTATGTAGTTTCAAAGTGAACTGGAAAATATGTGAAGTCTTGTCGAAGAAGAGTGATGTAGAAATACTACTGATAATAGAAACTTATAAAGATTTTGAATTTATATAAAAATGCTTATTAGCTTCTTAATATAAGATATTTTTGAAATTTCTAAATTGTAATACTTATTCTGATATGAATCGCGATAGTACATCACCTCTAAAATATATCGTCAAAAATAGCAACAAATCATTTTAACGTCATTTTGTCATACCGATATCAGCTAAAATTAATTATTGTCTTTTAAATGACCTATAGTCTAAAGCCAGAAGTCGTCTCAAGTGCTCTGTTGTGAACTTAATTGCTACCTCTAAAAAACAAAACTTTTTTAAATGTATACGATTGCTATCGAAAGACTCTGTATTGAGTATTATAAAATAGTCATAAATTAATTATTTGTTATATCCAAAATTAACATGTAAAATATCTGTGTGAGTATCGTGTATACTTAGTTGTCAATCTTGTTTTCATAATATTTTATAATAATTTATACTAGATTGTGCTCTAATATTATAAGTAAGTACGGCGTATTCTTGTGTTGGATAGTGTCAAGAAGATCATTCAAAACAATTTCTTCCGAATTAGTATTTCACATAGACATAATAATAGTGATTAATCAAATTTTTTTCATGATGTTCACTTTTCATTTTAGGAGCCCATCACTACAACTGAAACTACTACTACAACCAGTGTTACCGCAACAACTACAGCTACTACTATCACCACAATTACTACTACTACTTCCTCATCAACTACAACTACTATTGCCTCAACAACTACAATAACTATCAGTACCAGTACTACTACTTCAACAAGTACAACTACCACCACTTTAACAACTACAACTACTACTATCACAACTACTACTACTTTAACAATTACAATTACTGCTTCCTCATCAACTACAACTACGGCTACCTTAACAACTGCAACTACTATTACCTCAACCACTACGACAACTACTGTCTCAACAACTACAACAGCTACCAGTACCAGTACCACTACCTCAACTACTACTGTGATTACCATTACTACTACCGCAACTACTACAATAACTACTGCCTCAACAACTATCAGTACCAGTACTATTACTTCACCAACTACTACTGTAATCACCACTATTGCAACCACAACATCTACTTCTGTACAAACAACAACGAGCACAACTTCAACATCGTCGGCTTCCATGACCACGACTACCACGATGCCCACAACTACGACAACAGTCATGACGAATCTACCATCATCCACTACGATGATTACCAATTCTACATCAAATGTAACACAATCAACTACAGCAGATTCATTAGAAAATACAACAAAGAAAGATCCATCCAAAAGAACGCTGATTATTGCTTTGGCTACTGGAATACCGGCTGCGTTGATTATAGTTGTCATTATTGGCGTGTGGATAAAAAGATCAGCCGTTAGCGGCCTCCTCAGTGGTATTTCACATCCATTCACTGACATAACTGATCAAAATGAAATGACTACTTTTAAACTCAATGATTTACAAGACGATCATGCATTTTAATATCTTGCATAACAATAGGTGTCCGACGGAAAAAGGCCCCTCTGTATTTTACTGATATTTACATTTATTCTCGCTCCATCAGACTTTTCTTTTTTGTAAGATTCGTCTTGAGATGCTCTACAAAATAATGTCTTTTTTTTAATGTAAATATGAGCATTCATCATTTTTAATACACAGTCCAAACGAGCAGTGTCTTAAAATAACATCATGTCGAATCTTTTCGACCGCACTTTTCGGTGCTCCCTTGTTCTAGTTGATGGATTGTGCAAAATGGTCCCACATAGTATAGTCTAATGAATTTAAATATGAGCTGTTCGATGACCAATGATTTTTATCTATGAGCGATAGTAACTTTTCCTGACATCGTGTTTGTGTTAGGTAATGGAACTGAGATTTCGCACCGTCTCGTTGAAATGCCCAGTATTGTCCAAAGAAGTCATTACCATATTTTAAAGCTATCGAAAGAACATTCCGAATATATTCAACATCATTGGATGTACTCTAGTCGAAGATGATCAAGGGTGTCACTCCCTTGGAGAAAACACTTAGTCAGACCGATACCTATCTTAGCTGGACCATCACCATCTGGGTATTTAGAAAAAAACTGGGCTTAAACGAATAAGAATCGATGGAGATATCAGTAAAATACTGAGAGATCCATTATTCCTGGGACTATGTATCAATTCATACTTTAAATAATTTTCATCTTACGTTCTATTTCAATTTCTAAATAGTACTATAAGAAAAAAATATCTACTTAAATCTTGATTATTACTATAGTATTCCCATTTCTCTATGGATATAACTTATATCAATCATTTTTATTTTTAGCACATTTTATAATAATACAAGTATCTTCTACTACTACAAATCATGAAAACACATCTTTAAAAAGATTGTTATGCTTATGTCATGCGTCGATTGTCTTTGTAGAACTGAATCGTATTATTCCTGCTTAACAGATAATTAAATTTTATTTTAAAACTAATAAAAACCTTCTCACGCAATCCAACTTGATTATCTTTCACTGAAAAATTATTCATCTACATATATATATATATATATAGAAAAAGTAGAATGATAGAAACAGAACAGAACAAGTTTTTTTTATGGATATTTTTTTCATAGACTACTCAATTATATTATATTAACGTCGTCATTTCGTCATTTGATCTTCTAAAATGAAATCAACGTTTTGTTTTTCTATACAAAACAAAGGTAAAACAAACGAAGTTATTATTCATTATCATAAAATTATTCATGTACATGCTATAAAAACACAATTAATTCGATCATAATTTTTTCTTCTCTATAAGTAATTATCACTATTTTTCTTGTTTTAAGATGAATAATTGTGTTGATTAATTAAATTAGCGCCATCTAGTGTAAGTAAAATCTTTTTCTTAAAGGAGATATTATTTATTCTGAATGGCTAGAATTATGATCAACAATTGTATTGAGAATGATAAAAAGTCGTATTCTCTCTTCCTGTCGTTTGGTCTCTCTCTTCGTCTCTTCTCACGAAACTTTCCCTTTGAAGAACGATAGTTTTTTACATCATGTTGCTTATTCTGCTTCATATAAACAAATCGTTTTTTTGAAAGAAATCAATATTATTTAAGTTCAATCAAGTTAACCTTGATCGCACTCGATTATGAAGAGAAAAAAAAGAATTTTTCTTCTCCTCTTTCATTCTTTTTATTCCAGATGACAATAATGTAAAAGAACAGAACATACCAATGAATACAAGCATTGATCACCTAGTGACCACTGATTCTCAATCAGGTCTTATAGTAACTCGTGGTATACCACTTTCTTCATTTACATCTACAGATGCATCTATTCTTGATCTTAGTCAACGATTAATTATTATTGATAATTGGAGAAAAAATTCAACATGTATTTATACAGATTCAATTGATGATGATGAATTTAATAGGATAACAATAGAAAATAAAGACAATAATAATTTAAATATTGAATATTCATTAACTGATCAATTAACACATAATTTAATAAAAGAAAATTCATTGTCAGATAATACAAAACAATCACAAATTGATCTTTATTGTTCAAAGAAAAAATCCAAGTAAAATATTTTTAATTTTTATTTATAAAAAAATTTTATTTTAGTTTATCAACATCTCGTATTGTTATACATGAACTTGAACCTTCTTCTTCTTCTCATTTATCATCATCCAATTTTCTTTGGTCAAACTATTTTTCATTAGTTAATGAACGATCTGTATCCGAAGAATTTTTTGATCATTATTTAGCATCAATTCAATCCGGTTTTGAAATCAATATGAAACTTGAATATTGTTATGATAGTCAACATGATTTATATTGGTTAACACAAATACAATTAGTTTCTCATAGTTTAATTCGTTTACATTATGTTGGTTTACCTGAAGATGATACTTCAAATGATTTTTGGACATATATTTATGAACAACGTTGTCATCCAATTGGTTGGTGTAAAGAAAATAGTAAATTAATGTTACCACCACCAATTGTAACTAGACGAGCTATTCAACAAGCAGCATTAAATAATAATAATAATATTACTTCGAATGGAAGTGATAAACAATCGATAATTATTAAAGGAGAAAATGAAGATAGTTATGAAACACCACCTGCTTATTTATTTGATAAAGTAAGATGACAACGATTTACTTTATCATTTTCTATTGAAATATCTCTATTTAGGAAATTGGTTTAACACCTGTTGAACAATTAAAAACCGGTATGATACTTGAATTACAAGATATTAATCGTCCATGGACTTTATGGTTTGTACGAATAATAAGTAATCAAGGTGGACGTTTACATCTTCGCTATATTACTAAAACAATAGATAATGAACAAGAAGATTGGGATATTCATCTATTTTATCTTGATTATCGTGTTCATCCTATTGGCTGGACTTCAAATAATTCATTAATTTATTCATATGATATTCCAACATGTTTACAAGTAACGAATGATAAACAATTAATAATTGAAATGTGTTTAACACAATCAAAAACTCAATTTTTTCCACCAAATTTATTTAAAGAACAACAAGAAATACTCAAACATCGTTTTACTGAAGGAATGAAATTAGAAATATTTGATGGTAAACGACAAAATGTTTATATTGGACGTATAGGTCATATTCATAATGAATATTATTTTGATATTATTATTGATAATGATAATGAAAATGAATTATCATTTGTTTCCTATTCAACTGATCCACATATATTACCACCACATTGGGCAGCTGAACATAAACTTGCATTAATGAATGGGAAATCAATTCGTCAATCAGAAGAGTATTGGAATGTTTATACAGAAAAAAATGGTATAAGTGATTTAGCATCTGAACGATGTTTTAATTTAATAACTTTGAATGTCTCAGGAAATATTCGTGTTGAACCTGGAATGAAAATGGAAATGATTTATACATTGAATAATAAAGATTTAGTTTTTTCTGTAACACTTATTCATATTATTGATCATTTTATGTGGTTAAGAATTGATGATACAAATTTATTAAATGATGATGAACATTTATATTATCATGTTTTACCAATTAATTCATTAGATGTTTTTCCAGTTGGATGGGCTAAATTTAATGGATTTCAATTAATAAATCCAATTGAATATAAAATGAAAATAAAAACATATGAACAAGATCGATATGAATTATTTTCATCAGTCACTCATTATCCAAAAATTCCTCGTGTATATTTAAATGAAGTATATCTATTAACAATCTATGTTAATATTCGATGTTTTTCTGGTCCACATATTTGCTCATCTCGTCTTGCTCGTTTACCTTCAAAATTTGGTCCAGGACCTTATCGTCATGTTCTCATTGATATGCTTCATCATCTTCTATCAATATTATCAACAAATGCTCATCGTGCATTACGTCGATTAGATCATCAAATAAATTCAAAACTTAAAACTGAAAATATAAAATCAGCTAAGAAATCTTCGAAATTAATTCGTCCTATATCAATACCAATTGAACCTTGTTCTGTCTATCATTATCTTCGTCATATATGTACACAATTAGAAGCTTGTCCAAATCTTCTTAGTATAAAACATATTGATAATCATTGTCCAGATAAATGTCATATATTATCAAATACTTTTAGTATGTTTTAGAAAAAAATAATTTTTAATTTAAATATTTTATTTTTTCTAAATAGCTTTTTCAACTCATTCAAAACATAAACGTACTCAATTACGTGTCGCACAAAATCGATATCGTAAACAAAAATCTTTATTATGTCATTTAAAAAGTAAAACAATATCCACAAATGTGCCAAGTCCTACTATTGAACAATTACCATTAACAGAAATTGCTAATACAAATGATGTATTACCAATTACTACTGTCCCAGTATCATATCCAGGAAGTGATCGACAAACACGTGGATTTCGTTTTCATATCGAACGAAAAACGCATAAAATAACAAGAACAAATAAAAAACAAGACGTAATAACTAATGAACAAGAACCAATTGAAACTAATCATTTAATATCAGAAGCTTCATCTTCATCATCATCAACAAATGCTCCAATTAAAGGTTTCTAAAAGAATATTAATTTTTTTCTAAAAATTTGACTTTGTTTTTTTTAAGAATCAAAACGTTTGCGTGTATCAAAGAAAAAACGTCCGTTATCTTCACCATTAACATTAGATGTTCTTAATTCATATGATAATTCTCCATCATCACCTAATAATACAAAGAAAAAACGACGTCTATATACGAAATCTCAAACACCGAAAGTTGAAATTCAACAACCATCATCTATTCGATCAATACCCTATCCAATACCACCACCTATTGATCCACGTAATCCAATAACATGGAATGTGAATGATGTTTGTTGGTATTTAAATGAATCTGGATGTTCATTTGCATTAAAAACAATTAAAGAACAAGTAAAATAAACTTCTTTTTTTATTTTTATTTTTATTTAATTTTTAATTTTTATTTAAAGGAAATCGATGGTTCTGCTCTTCTTCTCCTTGATGACTTAAATACTGTTCAAGATTTATTAGAATTTAAATTAGGTCCAGCTGTTAAATTTTGTCATGTTGTTGAACAACTTCGTAATCAAGTTCTTGATACATTTCATTCATCACCATCATTAAAAACTTCTTCTTCTTCTTCTTCTCGATTACCAACAAATTAAATTTCTTTCTTTCATAACAGTGTCAATATAGATATAAAAACAAACCCCGTATATTTGCCTTCTCGTTTTTTCTTTTTGTTTTGTATATTTCAATTGTTTTGTGTGTTTTATATTAAAAGATTAAAGAAAGAAATACAAACATCAGATATATTTCTTATGTTTGAATTTTTTAGATGTCGGCATTGCCTTCAAATTCAGGAGAAAAAATGAGTGCACGTGGTGCAGCCTATGAACGTAAAAATATTGTTCGTGATCCAAAGACTGGTGAAACATTTATTCCTGGTTCACAACGACCTGATGGAACATGGAGAAAACCCATTCGTGTACGCGCAGATTATGTTCCACAAGAAGAAATGCCTGTCTATCAATCTATGGGTCAACAAGCACAAATGGAAACAAAAAAACGTATTGAAAATGGTAATTTAATTCCCGGAATGGTTTTAACTGACGAAGAAAAAGCAGCACGTGCTAAAAAATTAGCTCAAGAAGAAAAACAAATGAGAAATCAAATGGCTAAATTAACAACACGATCAACACCTGAAGATGATAAAGCAAAAGAAATAAAAAAGACACAAAAATTATTAAAAGAAATTATGGCGTTAGAAAAACGTTATGAAGAAAATGCATCAAGTTTAGATAAAGATCAAATTGTAAAAATGAAAAGAAAAGATGAACTTGAGAAAAAACTTGAAGAATTAAATGATCAATAAACTTCTTTTTCTATTATTTTCTTTTTTATTGCTAGTTTCAGATAGAAAATGAGTCAACCGAAGATGATTGATACACGTGTTACTGATGAAAAATCAGTTGTTCGATCTTCAATTCCATTACAATCATTATGTCATATTCATCGACCGATTGTTTTCCTAGTAAATTCTTAGAAAATAACTGAATAAATATAAATTCATTGTTGTTTAGTGGTTTGTCGCTGAAATTTTAATATTTGTCTGGAAAGGTCTTGTCGGTTGGCCATTAGATTGGACAATTTATGGTTTTGAAATCTTTGCATTATGTCTTACATTAACATTAGAATATATTCGATTGGAATTAATTATCTATGCAAATCTTACTGAAAATTTATTTTATATCTTCATTGGATTTGTTGTTACATTAATATCAATTGTTACATTTCTTTATTGGACAATATGGCAATGGCTTGTATTAAAACTTGAATTTGTTCTTGGTTGTACTCAACTTGTATTTTGTTTATTTCAATTAATTCTTGTACTTACAGCAGTTTTATCTTTTTGTAAGAAACCAACAAAACAAAAGACAGCTTAACACAATCAATTTAGTATGAAGAACTGATTTCCGTCCATTTCTTTTTTTTTTCTTTTGCTATTTCTATTAATTTTACTATCGAGGGTTTGCCATTTCTATTAGATTGAATTTCTTTTTTTTTTTTGACAAAAATAAAAAACGAATCTGAAAATCCTATCTCATACACGTGGTTATAAAAATTGTAGATAATATTTTGAATAAAACTATCGTAGAGATGTCAGATATAATGATTGATAATCCACATGGTGGTATTCGTGAATCATGGTCTGAAGAACATCTTGTTCAAGCAATAGTTTTACTTGAAGATGCATATTCATTTCGTTCAATAGAACATAAATTATCTCCACCATATATCTTAAGACTTTATCGATTGTATTGGTCAAAACGATTTCAACGTTTATTAACATTTATTGTATCATGTCAATTGTTACTTATATTTATTCAATATCCATCATCACTTAGTCGAACATCTGATTTACGTCAAGATAGAACACGACTAACATTACCATGTGGGATACAATTATTTACTGAATTCGTATGTCTTATTATATTTTATATCGATGCAATTATGAGAGTAAAATAGATTTTTATTTCATTGAATATATATAAATACGCTCTTTTTTTCAAGACTTATTTAATTGGATTGAAGAATGCACGTAAGAAACCATGGATAATAGCGAATTTTCTTATAACAACCATATCTATGGTTGATCTTGTTTTTTCATGTATATTTGGTTGTCAAGGAAAAGTAATAAAATTCCTTTTTTATATTTTTATATGGAAAATAAATTTTAAAAATAGACAATTAATATTCGATTTTTACTTCGACCATTCTATATGGCTGTGATATCACAAGAAATGAAGAAAATATTTAATAGTTTACGAAAATCTTTTTTACAAATTCTTAGGTATTAATTATATCTTTTATTTATTTTAATTGATTTATTTTTTAAGTGTAACAATTCTTCTTGGAATTCATGTTTATTTTTTTTCTGTTATTGGAATGATTTTATTTCCACCAGCGAGAGTATTTCTTTTTTAAAAGTTTTATTTTACCAAAAATCTCTATAATATTTAATAGAAAGATTCACCAAGTGAACGACCTAATGAAGGAACAAAATATTTTCCTGATTTTCCCGATGCTTTACTTAATTTAGTTGTTCTTTTAACAACAGCTAATAATCCAGATAGTAAAAAATTTCTTTCATTAATTCTATTTATATTCAATATTATTTAGTAACATTACCGGCATATTCAAAAAATCGATTATATATTATTTACTTTGCAGTTTTTCTTACAATTGGTAAAATTAAATATTTATTTAAAAAAAAATTCTGTTGATTTTATTTAGGTCTTTATTGTTTAATGACTTTATTTACTGTTATTAAAATGAATACATTTAAAGAATTCTTTACAGTAAAATTATTATTATTATTTATAAAATTCTTGTCCTATTCATGTCCTATAAATTAGACATCAATGCAAAATTCATTATTTCGTCGTCGTTTAGCTGTTCGTGCTTGTTTCGATATTTTACTTGAACGTCAAGTTATCCCATCATCATCATTAACAACAACAGATGACACAACAACTTCACTTCTTACTCAACGAATGTTTGTTTTTTTTTATTATCCTTTTTTTTCTATTGATAATTAATATTTAGAACTCGAACAACTGCTCCAATGTTAGTATTAACACGTGTTATAAATGGTTCAGATTTACCTGAACCTCTTAAAACGGAATTAGTTGATGTAAGATTTTTTTTCTGTTTTTTCAAATAATTAAAATAAAATTTTTTATAGACATTAAAACGTTATGCTGGAGAAAATAATGAAGTTGGTTGGGATATGTTTGCAACAGCTATGTTATCATTAGATGCTGATGTTCAGAAATCGGTAGATCTATATTTGACAAGTTAATCATAACAAAAAAATAATTTTAGTCGGTTGTACATCATGAATATTCAGGAATATGGGCTTTAGTCCAATTAATTGGTGCTTCAAAATATTTAACTTGGTTTGGCAATGCTATTGGTTTAATTAATTTTATTATTTTAGTTGTACGTAGAAAATAAAAACGATATGAATTCTATTAAATATGGAATATTTAGGTTGAAGGTGCTCTTCGATATCATCCGAAATTTTTTACAATTGATATTTTTTTATCGGTAAAAATTATACTATAGAAACGAATATGATTATTAAGAAATTTAATTTTTCTTTAGAATATTTTATTTTCATTTTCTATTTATTATTTTCTTGAATCAAGTCTTAAACTTTGGTCACTTCGTCCAAAAGTCTTTTTTAAATATGTTTTCAATACATTCGATGCTGTTCTAGCAGTTAGCTTATTCGTAAATATATTTACTTTAGAATTTCAAAAGTTTATTTCGATGTTAAATAGGTTCTTCATGTAGTGCATTTATCAATATACGGAATATTAAGTATTACAACAAGGTAAATGAAAATTATTTTTCAAATAGAATAAATCAAGAATTGTTTGATATAGTGAAGTTGTACGTGATGCTGCTGGTACAGCAAGTTCAATATGGGCAATAACACGTATTATTAATTTATTTGTTATTTTTCGAACAATTCGTTCCATGCCACATTTTACTAATTATGGAATTATTATGGGAACAATTAGTGATGGAATGAGAAATTTAAAAGCATTTATTGGAATTCTTATTGTATGAAATTTTCTTTATAAATTATTTAATAATAAAAAAAAATATTTTTTCTTTTTTTATCCCTAGTGCTTGTTCTATAGTTATGCTGTATTAGGTATGTGGCTCTTCAATGGAGTTATTAAACCACCGACACCCTCTGATATTATGTAAGAATATGAATTATGAGTAAGATGTATATTATTTAAATTATTTAGAAATGCAACATGTGGATCATATCAACAAAGTCAATATTGGGCAAATAATTTTGATGACTTTTTTGTAAGATGTACAATAGAAAAAAATAGAACATGATTTTTTTTATGAATATTTTTATCTTTTAGTCAACTGTTGTAGTTTTATATGATGTAATGTTAGTTAATAATTGGGGAGTTTTTTTAACTGCTCTTCGAGAATTTTCTACAAGGTAAATATTTACAAATTTTCTAATAGAAAAGAAAATATATATATATCTATTTCAGATGGAGTCAATTATATTTGGTTAGTTGGTGGTTTATGTCAAATGTTTATATCTTAGCACTTGTACTTGGATTTATTGTTGAAGTAAATTTAATTTCGATTTTCTTCATATTTATTCTATTCTATTCTATTTCTCTAAAGTTATTTTCATTAAATGTTGCTCGATTTGAAGAAAGCGGGTTTACTCAAGGACAAGATGGTGTAGCAAAAACATATTTTGTTAAAACATTATTTCATTTATTTAAGTAAAAAAAAGAAATGTTTTTTTGTCTAAATTAATAATAATAATAATATTTATTCTAGACGAAGTTTAAAAGAACCATCGGATGATGAAATCAATGGTGCTCTAATGAAATATAAACAATTATATGATAATGGACACGAATAAAATTCATTTTTTACGATTGTAATTGTACTTCTATATAACAAAATTTATATTTTTTCAAAAATTTTTTTCCGAATAAAAATGTAATTCATTAAAATTTTCATATAATAAAAGTTCAAGAGTAAATAAAAAATTTTATTTCTATATAAGAACATTACTTTTACCGACTAATGACAGTTGACGATAATTATAAGATAATTCGTTTCCGAAGTATGACATTATGTTTTTATAAATAGCATAAATCGGAAATGACATAAAATAGTCAAGGTTTTCATATTTCATATAATACTATGAACATATACTTAAAGGTCAAATGTATCAATGATTTATTTTGAACTGGAAAAGATTTATCTGGGAAAAAAGTCTGGTATTTGAAAAAAAAATTTCTTATCATTGTAGTTAATATGTAGAATGTAAGTATTTTTTTCTTTCAATTCCGCGTTTAAACAGATATATATATGTATATATGCGCCTGTTTTTGACTCGAATCATTTATTGTTATTGTTTGAAATACTCTGTAATGGATGTTTTTAAACGTAGTCGAGATAAACTTCGATCTTTACCTCGTCGGTTAGCATCGACAATTCGATCAATATCATCTGAATATCTTAATAATCCAAATCATATATTAACTACACCTACTTTATCAAGAAGACGTAATGGTATATCATTTGATTCATATAATGATTTGAGAAAAATAATATTAAATGCACCATTACCAACAACTGTTCTTCAACATACACCAACAAAAGAATTTTCATTAAATGGAAATGATCTTCCAATAGCATCATCATCTTATTATATTTTAACATCAATTAATCAATGTTCAACACTTATTCTATTCAATAAAGATAATGAACTAAAACGTATTGATTTAAGTCATTCATTAATATATTTTTATGATTTATGTTGGTCAATAAAATTAAATATGTTTCTTATGGCTGGTTATTCACTTTATACATTTGATCCTCGTTCATGTAAAGTAACAACAATTGAAAATATCGAATTAGCTCGTGGTGATTGGATTGTATCAATAACAACAAATAATAATTCAATTTATTTACTTTATTCATGTTCAAATCGAATTGAATGTCGTTCGATTTTATATCCACATAAACTTGAAAAACAATGGTCACAAAAATATTTTCTTCAAAAAAAAGATTTCTTAGCACAATCTATACGTATTAATGATTGGAATATTCTTGCTTTAACAATAAAACAAAAAAATCGTGAATGGAGAGTTGATTTATTTGATTCAAATAATCTTCATCGAATAAATCGAAGTTGTTCATTGGGACAAGGTATACCTGGCATGAGAAATTGTTTAATTATACCTTATGATCGTTTATGGATTGTTATTAATAATTGTTCTTTACCGAAACAAATTATTTTACTTGATGAAAATGGAGAAATCAAAGAAAAACCATATATTGATAAATCAAATGGATTTATTAATCTTTGTTTAATAGAAAATGAATGGATTGCAATGAATTCAAATAATAAATTAAAACTTTATAAAATTTAATTATCATATTTTAACAAAAAAGATTATTTATTTTTTATTGAGAAAATTCTTACAAACAAGATTATGATTTTTATAATAAATATTTACTTATTCCCTTATAATAGAAATCCGATTTAAAAGATATTGTGTGATGTTTAATTCTTTTATAATAAAAGAATGCAAACTAATACATGCAATCACATAGTTTTGATAAGGGTAAACATGGAAATATATAAGTAACGCTCAGCTCTTTCTCTTAGAATCGATAGGTCTTCGCGACCAGTAAACTATTTAACAAAGCTAACAACAGATTCGAGTTCCTCGACCTCGATCAACCCTTATAAAAAAATTCCTTCCATATCTTTATCTAATGTTTGGACTGATCAGTGAAGTGCGGATATGCAAGAACGCAAACAATTTATAATTCATTTGTTGATTTTCGCGAATTTATGAATTGAAATTTATTTGTTCGTTCAAGATTAGCATATTTATTATCAATACTAAAAAAATAAATACATTGTTTGAATTTGATTATTCTTTAAATGAAATAATATAATTGAATATATCTTTTTGTTTTTCTTTTTTTCTTCAAAGAATTTAAATTATATCACATGACATGTATTGCTTAGTTATTACAAAACCAAAGGGATGAAAGGAACGGAAAAAAAAACACGAAACAGAAAAGAATCGTTTTTCTTTTTATTAAATATTCAAACTTAAATTTGATCCAGGTCCATTTGAACTATTATTATTATTGGAAGCATTCGTATTCGATGAAGAAGGTGTTGTTGGTGATAGACGTACTCCTGATGATAGTTTATTTAATGGCTGAGAAGAACGTGATGATGATAAACCTCTTGAACGTATATGAATTTGTCCACCATAACGTATTAAACGTTTTTCAATTTCTCCCGCTATTAAATTATCTTCAATAATTTGTTCACGATTATTTGATCGTACCCAAACAAAAACTAATGATGTTGATGATGTTAATGATGAAATTGATTTTAATAATACATATTGTTGTTTCATAGCTAATTGTAATAATTCATATGCTGTTGTTAATTTATTTGTTCGTAATTTAAATGGTATTAATGTATTTGATGTTAATATAGGAATGTAAATTGTTAATTCAATTGGATCATTTGTTTCTGTTGTTGATATTGTTGATGTACGATTTGTCATATATCTATCATTATTATTATTATTATTTGTTTCATGATCAATAAAACCACTGTCACAATTTGTCATTAATGATGTATCATTTAAAAATGGTGATGATAATGATGTTGATGTCATTGTTGATGGTAATGCTAATGTTGAATTACTAAATTTAACTGTATCTAATGCTGAATCTGATGCATAATTAACAGATGTTGAATCAGTTGCAGTGATTTTTAATTGAACATTTGATGGTTTTTGAAATGCTAACCAAGATTTTAATGATATACCAGCATAAGATTTATCTTTTGCACAATTAATAACATCAACAAGCCATCGTGATGAACGCCATATATCATCTAAATCTTGTTGACATGTTAGTAAATGATTAAGACGATAACGTGATTCATCTAATTCATTTGTTGAAAATGCTTCACGTTGACTTTGTTGAGCACAAATCAATTCAAAATCCAAACAAATCGATACACGACTATATTGAGATATAAAACGATAATTATTACTTAAATGTTGTACTAAAAATATATACAAACATTTCTCTATTTTCATTATTAAAATCATAATAAATCCTACTTACAAACTTCAAATATATATACAGGTAAATACATGAATGGTGTTAAACAATCCGATGTTATCGAATAACGTTGTTTCGTTGAAGATGGAGTTGAAAGAACATTAACTTCATCAGCAGTTGACATTAAAATAATTAATGAAAGATCATCACGAATTTCAACAACTTGAGCATCATATATACGACTATTTGAAAAATGAGTTTCTGGAAGATCTAAATAATAAAATTTGTTTTTTAACAAAAAAAATTTTTTCTTATTCAATAATTAAATTTACTAAGCATAAGACATAAATCTTTTGCAGCTTCTTCAAATTGTGTTTTAAAACGCGAAAGACTAGTTTCATTAGATTGATCTTCTGATAGTAATATTATCGGTTCTTCATTATCTATTATAGAACTTTTATGTAACCATTCCCATTCTTCTCTAGAAAAAAAACCATAAATTAAATAACAAATTTTGTTAATTCTCATGTATAAATTACCTTGATACATTTGCTATAGAACGAATTTTTGTACAGGGTAATGAACCGGGCATATATCTATTAACCATAACACGTACACAATCAACACTATTTTGCATTTTTAAATAAGCAACATATAAACCAGGATCTAGACGACGCATGGATGCATGATAAAAATCTATCATATCCTTTTTTAGGAAAAAAAAGCAGAAAAAATATAAGACATATTTTTGTTGTTTTGCTTTATCATACCGGAAGTTTATCAGTAATTTGTTGAAGACAAGAATTATTTGTTTCAGTTTCTTTAATTGTTTCAAAAAATTTTGCCATTAATGTCCATTTTAAATTTGGTGGACAAATATTTGTTCGTGTATCTGAAGATAAATCATTTATTAATACAAATGCAACATTTCCATCATTATCACGTATATAGGTATGATGAAGACGACCAAGATTAGTTATTTCTTCTAATGTCTAGAAATATATATGAATTGTAAATGAATTGCTTTTTTAATATTTTATTTTACTTGAAGCTCAATAGCTGCTTGAACAAGTTTCATACGTAAATAAAATGTTGTTGCACTTGAACATCGTTCTAAATCAGGTCGCAAAGTTTTTAAATCATCCCAAACAAATGTTAATTTCATAAACCATTGAAAATCTCCTAATAAATTATGACCATAATTTTCATCAACTTCAACCATAGGTAAAACATCTTCATTTGTTACTAATATTCGTTCACCATTCAATATAACAGATACTAAATAAAGACCTCTAAACAAAATAATTACAAAATAGAAATTTTAGTTTTTTTTTTTTTTTGATAAATTTTTACCGTTTCATTGTTTTAGCTAAACGAGGATAAAGTTGGAAGAATTGTCGAAGATTTCGTCGAAGATTTCCATAACTTCGACGACGATTTCTTGTCGAATTTGCAGGTACTGGCATTTCAGGAGATTCTAGATTTAAATAATAATTAGTATATGAAAATGAGCATTAGATAGACATATAGAATATTATAATAAATACTTCATTACATAGAGGGGTATGCTAATTCATTTTACTGTCACAAAACTACTGAAGAAAAAAAAGGGAGAAATCTTATTGTAAATGAATTTTCTTTTCATCAATCTTGATGTTAAGTATTCTATTATATTAAAATATAGAGGATTTAATTTATGAATACCTACCATTTCCATCACTAGTTCCATTATTTGTATAATTAGAAGTTGATGTAATTGCACCACTTGCTCCACGTTCATTGAGGATTTTTTCAGGTCGAATTTTATTAAGAATTTCTTCAAAACGTAAATCACATATACTCGGACGTGAGGTTTTAGAAAATTCACGCCAACCTATAATTATGTTTTAAATAAATATTTGAAAAATGAATAATAATTCCTATGTAACCTACTTGATGGAACACAATAAGGTGGATTGGCAATTGCTGATGGACCAAATCCACGTATATTTCCTGCTGATACACGTACATAACATTTTTGTCCAATAGGTAAATCTCGAATAACATATTCACGAAGAAAACAATTCTTTACAATATCATTTTGTATTAGACTATCAGATGATGAATTTTCTTCAAAATTTTCATTAATACACCATTCAACTAATCAGAAGAAATTGCTATCAATAGATATTTTTTTTTCTCCTGTTCTTCTTCTTACTTTTATATTTAATAACCATAGCTCCATTGGATCTATGCGGTTCATCGTATGTAACTGTGATGCTATTTGAACCAGTAACGATAAGTCGAACATTGGTTGGAGCATCCGGAATGCCTTGAAAATTACAAAGAAAGATTATTCATTCATCATCGAATATTCATAGAAAGACTAATGAGTATGAAGATAGACGGAAATTAATTTCTAAGTAATTAATCAAATATGACTGATTTTTTTTGTCATTGTTTTTTCCTCATATTTTGACATTGATAACTTACGCTTTTGATATTTTTCTTGATGATAATGAAACTCTTTTGATAAGCATGGTGAATGTAATGGAGGCGGTGATGATGATATTGAAAGATTGTCCGATGAAAAACTTTCACCAGAAAATATACTTTTTCGACGAGATTTTGTAATAAATCGAAGTGCAGTTTTAACGATTAAAGCACGAGAACGAAATTTTTTATTTCCATCCATTCTCTTTTATATAGGTGGTTATATAAAAATGTAATTAAACTATTGTACTCAATGTAGATTTTTATCAAAAAGATTTAGTTTTTTTTTTCTTAGTTGGACAAAAAAAGAAATCACAAGGAATGTTAGACTGATGTGCTTAATACCTGGATAGTAAAATTTTCTTTTTTTTCTTTAATATAAAGAGTAACGACGCAGAATAGAAGAAGAAGAAAAAAATGGAGAGAAAAAAAACCAGAAAATTGTCATGTTCAGTTTAATGAAAATTAGTCATGCTGCGTTAGGTACTGATTTTAGTGATGAGAAAGAAAATGATTTCCCATAACGATTATCTTCTTTTTTTTTTATGTTCATGTGTCTGACAAGAGAGTGTCATTTTTAGGTTGGTTTGTCACGGATCCTATTATATTGATGAGACATAACTGACTAGGAAGGTGAGAAGAAGAAAAAGATAGAATGAATCTACTAGAAATCTAATTAAACGAGAATCTGATATATAAATATATATATATAATATGACAGAAGACATAGAGAATCAAAGAAAAGAGAGAGAAAAACAAAGAAAGAAAGAAAGGGGAAGAAGAAGAAGAGGAAAAAAAATGCGTCGTTTCTCTCTAACTACTTTTGATATCTATTCTTTTATTTTCTCGTTTGTCTTATCATTAAATAGACGTATTATATTTTATATTGATTGTTGTAAAAAAAAACAACGAGGCGGAAATGAGAAAACATAAAATTGTTGAACAGATGTCTTGTTAGTTTTTGAGTTCAATCGTTTTTTTGCTTTTAGGATTTTATCTAGTTTTTTTTTCTTCTTCTATTTCTTCTTCTTACCTGCTTGTTCATAATTATCTTTCATCTGAGTCAACGTTAATGTTCGTTGCTGATAGAATTGTTGTTGTTGTTGAAGAATTTGTAATTGCTCTTGTTGCCCTTTACTTGTACGACGATGACGTGGTTGGAATTCATTTGATGGTGATAAACGACGTGACTAAATTCATTGGATAATAAACATCACCTACGCGTTATATAAATATATAACAATACCTGAACATCATCCATTGTTAATTTATTTGATGAAGTTTTCTTTAGAATTTCATCAGGATTTTGTTGAGATAGAATTGTTAATTGATGACAAACACTTTGATAACGACATTCTTCTGGTTGAACTACAAAATTTTAGTTTTGTTAATAATAAAGAGAGATAATTAGCAATGATTATATATATATACTTTTAGAACTTTCTTCTGCACCATATTGTACTAGAAGTTGAATCATTGGAATATTATTTAACATTATAGCAATATCTAATGGACACCAATCATATTCATTGTACCTATTGGACATAATAGAATAAAGATTTTTTCTTATTTATTATGTCGAAAAGACTAAGTGGGGAATATTGAAATGATTTCCGTTTTGGAGACAGCTCGATTTTTTTTATGGAAAAACATATTGAAAATATCACCATGTTCTCTTGAAAAACAACTAATCAATTTTGTCAATCTCTATTTCCGTTTCCGCAAATATAAATATGATTATTCTCTTTTATATTATTCTGACTCTTATTTACTTACGAATTAACAAGATTTTCATTAGCTTGTAAAAGTTGTTTCGTTGTAAATAGATCAGAATCTTCAACAATTTGAAAAATATCTTTTAAAGAAAAACAAAATATAAAGTCAAAAATAAAAATTATTTCAATTACTTTCAGTTGATAATTTATTATTTGAAATATTTAATGCTGCAGCATTTGCTAATTTTAATACATTTCCACTTGTCGTATTTTTTAAATCTACAACTTTATTCAATGAAATACTTCCAGTTGTATTACGTCGTCTTGATAAATAAGATGTTAATTCTGATTGTTGATTTTTAGGTAATACTATATTTGGTGGTGTTAATAAATTTTCTCCGATCTCATTATTTTGTTTACTGGTATTTGATGATGATGATGAACTCAACCATGAATTTTTTGATGCTGTTGGTGTAGTTATTCGTCGTCCACCACTTGCATAATTACTAAGACAAAAACTGAATTTTGTAAAACATTCGATCATATTGCGCTTTCAAAAAAAGTTCCTTATCGTGATATGAAAAAAAGCACATAAGTGCTTATTATTAATAGACATTTCTCTAAAGTGAATTTTTATGTTAATAGTATTAATTAACTTACTGAAGTGTATCATTTGATATTGTTGATGTAGATGCATTGTTATCAGACTGGAAAAAAATATATATAGAAAGAAATTTTTTTTATTATTATGATAACTTACAGGAATGGTCATGGAATAAGGACGAGTTTTTGGACTAAATTGTCGAAAAAGTAATTTTTGAATAAGATTAGGACTTGTTGAAGTTTTTAAATCATCTTTAAAATTAGAAAAAAAATATAAAAATAAAAATTTTCTGAATCTAATAAACCTGTTGTTGAATCTCCGGATGGTAATTCAAGTTTAACAAGAGAAAAACGTCTTGTACCAGCATGACGTGTTCGACTCATCGGTGAAGTTTTTGTAGATTCAAAACTATTTGCTTTTGATAAAATTTCATCAGTTGATATATCACACGTTGATGATTTACGAAATTGACGTCTAAAAAAAGACTAAATTTATTTTTAAAGATATATAATTAAGATCTTATTTGATGTTTGTCAGGGTTTCTTAATGTTTATTGAAGGTGAATTGACATAAAGAGGAAAAGCAAATGTCAATTTAGTAAAAAGGAATGAATAAGTCAAATTAGAAATGAAAACATCTTTATTTAGACTCAAGAAAAAGAACAGAAAAAGATGACTAAGTAAAATCTTGTGACAAGGAAAAAGATTTAGTTAATTAGAAGAATAATCAATATTTTGTTATGAAAATGTCATATTTATATATCGAAGAATAGATTCAACCTGTTTGTTAGCGAGATTGACTTATTGTTGGATATCATGTCATGTATTTCTCTTAATAAATAACATCATATCCTTGTCTTAGATCAATTTCTATCATCGATCATAACAAACTTGATTAACAATATTAGTTACATGTTAAAAAAAAAAGAGCTTGTCTTAGATGATAGCAGGAGGTTATTGGATATGAAAATATCTCTGAAGGTTATCATGATATACAACAAAAACTTACAAGTGTTACTTATTCAATGTCTTCTGAGAAATACACGTAGATAATATCTGATACCTTGTCATTGAAAAAAACTCTTTTTCTCTTATTAATCATTAAACAAGCTTTTTCTTACTTATAAATAAACGTATTATCTCCTAACAGAGAAAGAAAGAAAAAAATGTATTTATTATTTAGTGGATGATTATATAAAGAAAATTTCGATTCGACGATATCAATTGAATAGAATAATTTTGTCTGATAATAATAGATATTTGTATAATAAAATACATCCGTTTCACGTCTTCACATCAAAATGATTCTCGAAGACTATCCTTCAAAAATATTTTTGATATGCTTATATAAATTGAATTCATCATTGAAGATGACGAATACAAACAATTGAATGAAGAGAGAAGAGAAGAGAAAAGGATGAACCGACCTTAAATAAATATGTTGTTTTCGGGATGCCAATATTTGTCGACATTGATTACTAATACGAGTAATACTTGATCGTCGTTTTGATTTCGATTCATTTTCATAAGCTGGTGGTGGTGATGAGGGTGACGATGACATATTGATATTAGTTTTGTTTTAGAAAAAGGAAGGTAATAGGAAAAGGATTTGCATTCGGTTTTTTTTTGTTTAGTCGTATTTTTTTGTCAAGTGTCTATTTCCGTTATTGTTTGCTGCTGGCATTTTCATCATTGTGTTTTTGTCAAAGAAAATATTCGTCTTACATGATGTTGTTGTTGTTCATCAGTGATGCAAGCCAAAGGAGATAAATGAAGGGAAAATAGACATACATATATATATATATTCAATGTTGGTGATGAGACGATTATCAGGAACAAGTTGATTTCCGGCAAATGAAGAATATGTGTGGATGTGAATGACAAATGAGTATAAATGGAATGGACGCGTTTTAGCGTGAACAAAACTTTTTTTTGCCGTCTGATTGTGTCTCAATGACAGAACTAACGGCCTTGTAGAAATAAAAGAGATCGAATACTTTTCTCTAACGCAAAAAAGAGACACAATCCGTTTGAAGATCAAAATAGGGAAGATAGGAGTATAACAAGTAGAAGGAGAAAAGACTAAATCTATATGTGTCGGTTTCTCCCTCTTCTTCTTCTTCTTTTCCCTTCTCGTCTCCTTTTTTTATCGTTTGGAATAAGTTTAACATCATTAAAACTAAGCTAGATTTTGTTCTTTTTATTTAATCCAGATTACAACACAACTGAACAGCAAAAATATGATTTTCTTAGCTATAACACAAGACCTAGGTATTCTTTTGTCTTTACTTTTTTAATAACAATAATAAGTGATGAAATACGTCAAATGAAGAAAATAAAAATGATGATGTTCATTTAATAAGTTAATCGTGACAATCATTTTCTACATGCTCATATACAATAGTAAATTAATATGATTGGATTCTAAAATAAGAATATTTATCTAACACCTACACATATCTTAGATTAATAGTCATTAATCAATATCATATCAATTGATTAGAAGACACACAAAAAAAAAGAAAAGTTTCTTCTTCTAGAATATTTTTTATTACGAAAACAAAACATCGAAAACAAACTTTCCTATTTGTTATTTTGATGAGACAACAGATTGAGAGAAAAGGAAAAGGACATCATTTATATAGAAACGACTTAGTTCGTTATATTCCTATATAATTATTATTCAAGCGAGAAAAATAAGAACGTCAATATTAATCTCTAATCGATTCTTATGGACTCACCAGATTTCTCTTCTATTCTAATATGATAAACATATGCGATTTGCGCATATTCGCGCGTCAAAAGGGAAAATAATAAAACGATCGATATACATTTATGAAGCACGCAGAAAAATGATAAATCATCATCAGCATTATAATACTAAATGATATATGGATTTATTCATTTGAATTTACCTTAATAAAATATTTTTGTTGATGCTTGCATGAAGATGAATCTAATTACAGGATTTCCGTTTCATCGATTATTTCAATCGAAATAATAATTGAAGATAGCACAAAAAAATGAAGATAATATTTTTCTATTTTTTTTTCTTGGCTTTCTTTAATATATATATATATATACGACGTAACTTGTACAATATTTATTAATGTCAACGCTGTCCAAAGTCAAACAACCAATCAGTCAGTCAGTCAGTCAACTAGTAGCGAATGTCAACAAAAGAAACTGCAGGAATAACAAAGCACTATACAGACGATCTATCTTATGTTTATATCAAGCAAAACACAAACATACGTGTTGTGTTTGTGTATATATACTCGAGCTCAATTATTTTTTTTTGTTGTTATTTGAACTATACTATAGAATAGATATGAAATTATGATGTAACATAAAAGAGAAAAGGTAAAATAATCTTATCGTATACTTCAATATTCATTAAATTATTTCATCATCATCTTCTTTCTTTACTATGAGATTGTTTCATATAAGTAACCATATAATAATATGCCTTAGGTCTTTAGGGAAAGTTCTTTTATTCTCTTTTATTGTTTTCCTTCTAACTATACTATTTCAAAGTACTTTATCATTCTATATAACAAGATAATAGACAAAGACGAAAAAAATGAACTAAACTAATGATTTTGCTAGTGAACATTACAATGACATGACAATCATCACTTTGCAATTGTTTCTCTTTATTGGGATAGAGTGTACGTCAACTTCTATCGATAATTCAAGGTTTCTTCTCTTCTCTTCTTTTTTTTTCTGTCATCAAATCAAGGCAATAGATACTCTCAATCACACATTACGTCATCAAATAGACAATCCATCAGACAAAGATATACAGACAAACAGCTACGTGCCATTTCATAAACATATATATCGAGATTCATTTAAACATGTGCATAAACATATCTCTTAAAAGTCAAATGGCTAGACTTATGATCAAGGATATATACCTAGCTAGATGAATATCAATAATTAAATAGGATACTATGAATAACCTTCGAAAAACTCGATTTATCACTTGTCTACATATATTTTCTATTAATCGTTAAACAATAAAATCATTTTAGATAAATATTACGAGTGTATATAACTATTGTTAGTAATAGTATCTTCACGCATTGCTTTTTAATAAATGATCGATTGAATATAAAGGAAATACTACTTACTATACACTTATGTTACTTAAGAGCAAAAAAATATTGCAAATAACTATTCTCTCTTCTTCTTCTTTTTGTTATTTTCTATTCACTAACGTATTTACTATACTATGATAAACATTAATAAAGTTCTTGTTTCCTTCTCTTCTTTATAAAATAATAATATGAAAAAAAAATGTACTAATCAGTTTTTTTTCTTCTTCGCTATCTATTGTCTCTCGTGATTTCGGTTATTTTATTACGATGAAAATCAATTTTAATATTTCACAAATCATTTATTCGTTATTCCGGTCTGAAGGCAAATAAACAGGAAGATATAATATATATAAAAAGAAAACCTTTCTCATATATGAACGGATATCCGGTCTGTAAAATAATTCTTTGAAATTAAATATTAAATATAATACCTTACAGAAAAAAAAACTTTCTCTCTCTCTTCATCTACTTACCTGTTTTCTCTTAGAAAAAAAAGAGAAGAAGTCAGTTGACAAGATTTTCAATAGCTCACCTTTTGTGTTGTGTGACAGTTGTTGTTGTTAATCGTGTCGAGCGGGAGTTTTTATTTCGAATACTATCACGCACATATCGAAATCCTCCATTGCTAGTGCCATCACCACCTATCTCTTCATCATGTTCAATCCCACCAAATGAAGCTCGTTTTTTGACATTTATTAATTTAGAATGATTCGAAGAACGAAATGACATTAGTGATGAACGACGTTGTAATAAGGACCTTCGTTTTTCATGAGAATTTTCAATTACTATCGATGATGATGATGCATTAAAATGTGATTTTAAATGTTCTTGCCACCATCTATACAGTTTTATCCAATTATCTGTTGCTGACATATTCTAGAAACAAAATTGATTACATCAAAAAAGAAAAAAGTAGAAAATAAATGATTGTTCTTTTTATGATAAGTGAATGAAGAATAGTAGCGTTAGTCTATTTTATATATATATATATATGTATGTGTTCTTTCCGATTCCTTTTGTCATCAATAAGCAAAAAAGAGAAAAGAAGAAGAAGGAGAGGCTATCTGGTTTGGGTAATCGACAGTGACGACAAGCAAGAAACAGTTCAATACATAGCTATAATTCTCATCTTCTCCATACATATAACACACATCTCTTTAGTATACATAATTGCCACTCATTGTGTCGACATACGTCGAGAGTAACAGAATAGAAAGGCGTACATACATAGAAATCAGAAGTGACGCATTTTCTCACTCTATATTAACAAATCCGCTAAAGAACGCAAGGAAAACTAGCTATGATTAGAGTTTATTTATAAACGAGAAGATGACCTTCATCTTAGTCGCGCAACATTGAGCCATTTGCGAAGTAAACTCAACTAGAAATAGATAGAAGAAAAGGCAAAAAAAACGTGAGTAAATGCTATTCTCAACATAGAAAAAAAAGCAATAAGGATCAGCTTAATGCTTGTCATTAAGAAAGAGGAGGAGGCGGATCATTTCATACCAGAAATAGCTAAGACGAAGAATATAATTGCATCACAATACTCATATGCAATCATCCAGAAAATGAACGGAACAAAACCGGACGTTCAGCATATTTTTTCAAAAAAAGATAGATGAATTAGCCTTCGTCTTATACATATAGATATACATATACATATATATCGCTATTTATGACAGATGAGAACAAGAAAATGATAGAAGGTTCAGAGAAGGAGGGGTGTAGGCGTCGACCTTTGGTCTGCCTAATATCGAATTATTCTTCTCTTTCATATCCACTAAAAGAACATATGGATACAAAGTTAATTGTGCTAATAAATAACATTGCAAAGAAGTCGAGATCAAGGCGAGTAATAAAAGAAAAAAAAGATGGAAGACATATATTTATATGTGTACGTTCTTATGATAACTATCCATTTAGATTATATATGCATGTGTATTGACAAATATCATAATAATGACGAACACAAAATATAGTGAGAATAATTAATTCAAGTTGATTTAGTTTTTTCTTCTTCTTCTCCTTCAATGCATCGATATATTATATTTCGCTAAAATAAGAAACAACTTCTTTCTTACATAAACACTAAGAGTGTCAACAAGCACGTTTTTATAGTTTGTTAATCTAGCAAGAAAAACGGCTAGATAAATCTTAATCACGATAGATTATTGTTCTTATTTATCTCATACAAGAGAAAATGTTTTCCTTCTAATTGTCACTATTTACCAAGACTAAAATAGATTGTCATTTCGTCTAATAAAATGGCATCTATTAGGATGAGTCATGATTTATGACATACTCAAGGATCAATATGGAATCGGTAGTATACATAGTGCAAATCTATCATGACTATACTAAACAAAATAGGTTAATCAGTTCATGGAAAGGGTACAGTTTTAATTATCTTCCATCGTTGATCGATAATAAATTTGTCTACATAACTTTCATCTTATATAACTTCATAATAATATTTTAGTCTATAATGCATTTGATAAAAAAAAGAAGGAATCGACGAACTTTCCAATGGCCTTCATCCCATCCGATTACTGATGAAATCCCAAATGGTATTATTGAGTCTCAACATAACTTTATAGCTAAAGGATAAACGACAGACGCTTTTTAATCAATAACACATACATATACAAATACACACAAGTACTTGTCGTAATAACAAACATTATTTTTTTATCTGTTTACTCAATAATAGTCGTCTAGATACGAATTAGATTAATTTTTAGAAATATAAAATAAAGATTGAAATTATAATATCTGTATGACGTCAATCGAAATGGAAATTGACCATGATTTACCATTGAATCTAATCTAATCAATAGAGAATAGATCTATGATCTACTAAAGAAAAATGCTCATCATTCAATTGTGTTAGCTTTAATACCAATAAAATATATCCACTTTCTCTCTCTCTCATTTTATTACATAATATGTTTCCTGACATGTAAATTTTATTATATGACTTTACTATTCAAAGAATTAAATTGTTCAAGTGATTTTTAAGTGTTTCGTTTTCATCATATCTGATAACAGATCTAATATAAACAAATATATCTTATCATTTCAATAATATCTCTAAATTCCATGATTACAAGAAAATGAATTTTTTTTATTGACACAGTTCTTTCGTGTATCTTTGCTGTTTGTTAACAAGATAGAGAGAGAGACACAAGTTTTCCTCTTTTCAAAATACGACACACATACACGAAGAACAGAAACATACATAACCACAGCTGGATGAGAGACAAGCACAGATAGAGACAGAGAGAGAAAAAAAAGTACACAACAATGATGTAGACAAACACAAGTGCAAAAGAAACAGAGAGAGAGAAAGAGAGTGGAAACGTCTATCTAACAACCACAAATACTGATCTACTGATGGTACACCAGTTAGACATCAGTAAAGATAGAAACAGAGAGACGTTGAACGTCACATACCAAAAAAAAAAAAAGAAAATTTGACGAGAAAGAAAACGACAAATCAATATATATGTGTGTGTATACGGATGTGAATTGTTTTTTTCTACTCTCGAGATGCTTCATCACCTTCTTCATCATCATCATCACCAACTTCTTTCGATTCATCATCATCACCACCGGCACCAACCTCACTACCACCTATTTATATAACAAAAAATAAAATAAATATTTTATATTTTCTTTATTCAGTTTCTTTTTACCATCATCACTTTCACCTTCACTTCCTTCACCTTCTTTAAAATCTAGAGAAAAATAAAGCAGTTCTATTCAATAGATATTATATAATCTACCATCATCTTCTGAATTTTCATCATCGTCATCATCATAATCTCCACTTTCGTCTAGATCGCCTAAAATTGATTGATTTAAAATATAAATTATTTTTGTCTTGTTTTAATATTTACCACTGGCACCAGCATCAGTAGAACTTGGTTTACCATTTCGTTTTCTTGCATCGACACTATTTGAATCATCGTCATTAGTATCTCCACGTGATTCATCATCGTCATTATTTGATGATCGATTTTTCGTTGTTGATGTTGCAGCTTTTACTGGTGTTGCCTTCTTTTTAAGACCTGTTGTAGTTTCAGCAGCTCCATTAGATTCATCATCTTCATCATGAGTTCGCTAAATAAAAAGAATTTTAATAGTTAAATATTTATTTACAAAACAATAATCATACCTTTTTGCCTTTAATTTCAGTTTCTGTTGACATTTTGTCTATTGTTTTCTATTAGTTTAATCTATGAGACAGGAAGAAGAAAAAAACGATGAAGGATAAGAGATACAATGATTAGAAAAGTAACAATTGTGATGATCTGAAATAAATGAAAATATATAGTTAATTTGATAAATTGTATACTTAGGAATATAGATATTTTCTTTGAATAAGTTATATGTAACTCAGTACATCTTTGAATCGAAAATGAATGAAGAAATACGTCAAACAAAGAACGATTTTTCTTTTTCGTTCGAAATTTTCCTATTGGTCTGACGGCATACTAGACAAACTGCAAGGCGACCTCCGTATTGATTAAATTATTTTGAATTTTCCACAAAAAGAATTAGAAAAAATTAGAAAAAAAAACTCGTTTTTTTAAAATCAGTTTCAATATTATTACATGAAATTATTATAGAGGCATGGATATAAATTAATAAAATATCGATAACAAATCATTTGAAACTCATGGATTCTTATTAAATAAATCAAAATTTACATTTCATTTATTATTTAAATAAATAAAAAATAAATGTCATTGACGTTTTTTTTACAAATATATTTAAAAAGATAAAAATAAGGACATCTATCGGAACAGATGACACACATTCTTGATTCCGATTTCCAGCTTAACGATGGAATTATGATAATAAGTAGTTAATTATACAGTTTATTAATATATTGTTCTATCACGCAGAAAAAATGGATAGCTTTAAATATCATGCTTATTCAAATATTGTTTTTATCGGTGTCTGTTCGTTTTCATAAATTATGTTCTAACAGAAAAATAGATCTTCTACCACTAGATGTTTTTCCAATACAATAATATGATGTTATTTATATCATATTTGAAAATGATAACATTTACAAAGAAGTAACAATCAGATAAACTATATAGAAATATTTTATGTATAATCACATTTTATATGGGTGCTGGTGTCACTTGATTCATTTCAAGCACATTTACTTTTGATTTTTTAAATGGCATGGGCTTTTTAAGCCATAGAATTAGGATGACGATTGCAACTGTACCAATAGGAATGACAGTTGCTAAAACTATAATATAAACTTTCACAGATGGTGTAGTTTGTGTACTCGATATTGCAGTTGTGTTAAAAGGATTAGTGATGTCAGTCTGTGTGACAACTTCGACTGATGTCTTCATAGATGTATATGTTGCTGAAGTTGAAGTCGCATCTGAGATGAATTGTGAACTTGATGCTGATGTGGCATCTAGAAGTATAGTTGTAAATGAAATGAATATAAGAGTCATATTAGAAGTAATATTATTACTTGTAGTCTCCAATTCAGTTGAAGGTATTATTGTAGATATAGCACTTGAAGTAAAAGTGGTATGCGTCACTACTGGAGTAGAAAACTAAAGAAAAAGTTTCTGATAAAATATTATTTATGAACTTCTTTAGTAAATTATATGAATAATAAAAATCTCTGTTGATCATAATATTTTTATGTTATTTTACTATCTACTTGAATTTGTACTATATCATACTAATTTTCATACGATGATCCATCGCCTTAACAAAGTTTGCACCCATTAATCATGTTTTTTCTTAGTTATTATATCATTAGATGATCCTATTGAAAAACTTAAAATGGAAATGAACTTCAAATAAACGAAATATTTGTAGCATCCCAAATGGTGCAATCAGTTGTGTAGAATATCGTCAAAATGTATTTCTAAAAACTCATAATGTATTACCGTTGTTGTAGTCGATATTGGTATGGTTGTTGTTGAACATTGAGAAGTGAATGAGTCAGCTTGAACAAAGTGAATTAATAACAGTTTTATTTTAAAATGAATTATGTATACGTACGACAGTTGCCCTGACGTACTGATATCTCATCAATAGCAATTACAGTAGTAAGAACAGATGATCCAAGGACTTTCTCAAAATCAAAGTAGATCTAAATAGTAACAAACATTATACATTAAAAGCAATCTATCAACTAAACATCTTACTTTATAACCATCCTTTGAAGTATGAAATGATACTGAACGCTTTATCCATCCATTATATGGACTACTTGCTACACTATCGATTGTTTCACTAATGTCTCCTACTTCTTGTTTGCGTGCTGTGATGCTTTGCTCTGTTCCTGTTACGTTAGATAAATAATAATAATAGATGAGACATTGGTCATCGGTACCACTTGTACCACCTGATGCAGTATTCAGAGTGAAACTAACTTTTCTTGGTGCTTGAAAATTAAAGTATCCAAATTTGCCTAAAATACAGAAAAATCATATAGCTTTGAATGTTTTTATAGAATTACCTGCAGAACATTTTGAAGTTGAGTCTGTTGATGTTTCACAATAACCCTCATTACAAAAGTACATATCCCAAGTAAAAGAGTTGAGTTTATAAGGTAGACTGCATGATTCACCATTAGTTGTTGGTTTAACTAGAAAGTGAAAAACTAGAATGTTTGCGAAAAAGGTACTAAGTAGCTAATCATACGACTAGATGTGACATCAGAAAGAGGTGAAATAGGTGGTTGTATACCAGCACTTCCCAAATTTTCACTAATAAGCAATCCAGCAAGTTGTTCTGGTTTGAGACATGAAGTTAATATTGTACTATTGTCAAAGTTACATTGGTACAATATTTGTGCATAAGTTATTGCAATAAAGATATGAACTAAACATAAAATGTATTTAGTTACACAATGAATCCTTTGACATCTTACGGAAGCAAAGAATTCTGTGACAACAGTGCATTCTGTTTAATTCTTCCTATACTTGATAATGTTTATGTCATGTGTTTTTATTATTCTTTGTGTGCAAATAAGGTGGTATCTGTTATCTTATTTTTGAATAGACACTATCCTTCTTTATTTTTCTTCTTTTTCATTGTTTGTATTTATAATATGACGTCTATCAGTGATCATGAAATGTACATTTATATTTTACTCTGAGGGAACAATATCAAAGTAGACAAGTTTATGTGTCGATTATTTATGTGATAGACATTAATAAAATAAAACTACTGATTCAAATGTAAACAAATCTGCAGATAAACTCATTCGAATTGACTGAAATGATAAATCTAATTTTATTATACAATTTCCCTATATAGCTTTGTAAGAAACAGTTTGTTAATAAAGATTAGTTTATATGACAATGCTCAGACATAAGAATATGAATAGGGGATACATATGAAGATGGATGTGTCAGAATCTATGTGGTCGTCTACAGGTGTTAATGTAATTAGTAGAGATTTTTATAATATGTAGAATATACTGTTCTCAAGAACAAAGATCTCATACTAACTCTCACAGAATTTTAACTTTGATTTGTTTTTCAGATGTTTCTTTAAGTCTAAGTCAAAATATCTAGTAGCTATTTATATTTTACAGTGTCTTTTAGGAATCTTTTTCAATTTTAAGCTCTTGGACTGTCATGGGAAGTGGCACTGTAAATTGTCACCCCTCCTTTGTCACATGTTGTTCTCTTGAGTACTTTCGCAAAAATAATAAAATATACTTGGCAAAAAAAGAAATAGAAGCGAATAATTAAACAGATGAAAAAGTGGTATTGAACGCTTCGAGTTTGAAGAATTGTATGTTATATCGAGGTTGTTGCAAAGGACATCTGTAGTAAATAGCTTCAGCGGTGATAAACTATTACACCTAAATCATTAAGAAAAGCAAGTTTTTCTCGGTCAACAAGTGTAACAGTCGATCCATGCGAACTGATTCGCTCGATCTCTTGAGCTTGTTCGTCAAGTAGTATAAGTTGTGACAATGATCTACTAGTTTCGTTGACTATCAACCATTGTTCACAGTTGTTCAGCATTGATGTCATCATACCTAAGGATTAGTAATGAGAAGGTTTGTAATAAACAGGGTGTAGGTGTGGGTGTGACTTTTGTATCTCTTGCTCACTTACGCCGACACTCACACCCACACTACACCCACACCCTCTCTTATTACTAAAATATGAAATTCATACTGCTATTTAATGGATTAATTATTACCCATTTCATAATTTAAAATCGCTCGAATAGGATTTTTTTATCGTTCGAAGCTTATTACTAAATCGTGTTTTAATTATTACTCATTCGGATATTTTTAGTGTTTAAATAAATACTAGCCAAAAAAAAACAAGACGCCGCTGTCGAGCCATGCCGCAATGGTAAAGATGAATAATGTGCCGCCACCTTCATAGCGACGGCGGCAGCGCCGCCATGGGCATCTCTTGGTGTATACTCCACAATAATTAGAGGTTCTTAGCTTGATGTTGCAAAAACAGCGAATTTTCTACAAATTTTGCACGTTTACTTTTTGCAAAATTTTGCTACGAACACCCTTACGCACTCCTTAATGATAGACTTCATGCAACCTCCAATGGCAAATTATTGTTTCTTTTTTAAGTCCATCTTTTATTTTTCAGTCATATTATTACTACACAATGAATTGATAAACACAGTGTTTTTTCTCTTTATTATTTACAAACGTTACAGCATTAACTAATACTAATTATCTTTGTCTTTTTCGTTCAAGTTAGTAAATGAAATAAACACATATGACAGATGGAAAATAAATTTACTACACATTAGTACAAAAAATGTTGCAATGTACAACGCCGTCTTGAGAGTTTATAGATGCGAATAAGTGAGAGATTTTTATTAATGCAGTTGCAAGTATGTAAACTCTATTGTTTGCATAGTGGTTATACATTTTTATATTCATAAATGAATGAATCTGTGACGCTGATGAATAAAATGTTCGCAGGGATGTAGTTTCTTACTACAAACTATCATCATTTTTAAACTTGCAGCTGTCCCTATTAAGAAAATGATATAAAAGAAAGCAGATTAGTCTTCCAAAAAGAGATTGCTGCATATTATTTTCGTTACAGTAAAAGATAGAGATTGTTTACTGTTGTTAAAAAATATTGATGCCGTAATTGTTTTTCTTAGAATATCATACATACGATTTTAAGAAATCATTTTAGAAAGAAATAGTAGTAACAATAGTTACAATAATTAATTCTTCCTTTTAGACTGGGTTTGTGTGTTCGTGATTGTGCCAAGAGTATTGTGCACTTAGTAGTTGTTAGACCATGCAGTATAGTTTGGAAACTGAATGTGTTGATCCTATGAATATGTCGGCAACTATAGCATTGAATAATCCAGTTTCTAAAAATGGTGATAGTCATCTTGAAATATTTAGTCTTCTCTGGTTTGATGATACCAATAACTTAGAGGACGCTCGAAACGCAAGACAAAAATTACGTACTATCATAAATCACTTCAAAGAGTTTCATGATGCAAACGAATATCAACAATATATTGAACAAAGATCAAAACAAGATCGTTTGATACTTGTTATTAGTGATCAATCAGAACAAGAGATAGTATCTTCTGTTCATGGACTTCGGCAAGTTTTATCGATCTATATTCATTCCAAAAAAGAGATAAATGATAACCAATGGATCAGTGGGTTTCCAAAGGTAAATTTATATTAAGAATGTGTGAATTGATTGAATCATACGTCCATTTAGGTGAAAGTTATTGTTGTTGGAATTGACGAACTTGTTTCTCGAATTAAAGCAGACTTTAAAATACAGATGAAAGAAGAAGAACCACTACCAATGAATATATTAACTACAGGCCAATCAGCAATAAATATCAATGGTCAATTCGTTTTCTCTCAAGTACTTATTGATTGTCTTCTTCGACTAAAATCTAATGAGACAGACCGATATGAACTGATCTCGTGTTTAAAAAGAGAATATGAAGGAAATAGCTCCGAGCTAGATAAACTTGTTGAATTTGAAAAGGAGTACACGTCAAATAAAGCCTTATGGTGGTACACTCGTGACTCGTTTTTCTATAAAATCTTGAACGCAGCTTTGCGCAAACAAGATACTCGCATGATTCTTCTATATAAATCATTTATTTCGGACATCTACCGTCAATTACAATATCATCAATCTAAGCATCCTGTACGAGTTTATCGTAGTCAATTGATGTCCAAAGATGAATTAATGGATCTCGAGCAATATGTTGGTCAGTTCGTTTCCATGAATTCATTCCTGTCTACTAGTAACGAACGTCCAATAGCTCTCTTCTATATGGGTGACAAAACTCAGGAAATTGATTTAGAACGAGTATTATTCGAAATCGAAGCCGATCCGCAAGTAGTTACTACAAAACCATTTGCTGACATTAGTATGTATAGCTGTTTTGATGTCGAATCAGAAGTCCTTTTTATGCTCGGTTCTATTTTTCGTCTCGATGATATCACTTTGGGAGATGATCAAGTTTGGATAATTCACATGACACTATGTAGTGATGATGAGCATGATTTAAAGCAGGTTCTTACGGACATGAAGAATCAAAATGGCATCGGAGAAACAAATCTTCATACATTGGGCAAATTATTATGGAACACGGGTAACCTAGATTTAGCCGAGAAATACTATAATCGTTTGGCAGACGAACTTTTACCGAATGATCCCATGCTTAAAAATTTATATACAGACCTCAGTGTGATTGCTTCTCAGCAGCGTGATTATAACAAGAGTGTTCAGTTGCACAAGAAATCACTTGAGATCAAAGTTCAACTATTACCCACTGATGCTGATAAAAAAGGTAAGCGAAGTATATATTTATATGTTTCATCGCGAGAAGATCTGTCATTATCGAGCAATTAGTATATACGAAAGACAAAGAAGTTTAATGAATATAAATAGTATCTAATCTTCGTCAAACATCGTTTTTAAACTTTAAAATTTCTAATTTTGAGACTATTTTAATATGAATTGTTTTGTATGTTTGTTCGTAGCATTGCAAGTCGAATCATCAATTGATATCGATCCGAAAATTACTCTCAAACTTATCGATCAGTCCGTGATTAAAATAAAAGAAACTGTTGAACAAGTAAAAGCTAACAAAAACCAATGCAGGCGACTTGTGGAAAGAATCAGCGCAATTACTTGCGTCTTACAATGTATAAGTGATGTAGAACATCAAAAACCGGAATTAAGAAGATTTCTGATGGATTTCTGCATCTGTATTGAACAATGTCTTGCCTTTGTCACAAAATTTCAAGGAGATACGCTATGGTTCCTCAAAGTCTTTAAGAGTATAAACTCTAAAGATCAATTCAAGAAGTTAAAAGCTCAACTTTTACAATGCGCCACCGCTCTTAATTTGGGCATTAATTTACAACAGATTTTCGACGAGAAACAGGATGATATCGATCAACAAAATGATCTAAATAATATTCAACAAAAACTTGATGAGATCGCAGCGATGATGGTACAACAACAACAAGAACAGCTCCATCATGTTCAGGACATTAAGCAAGACTTTAAACCACGACATGCATCGTATAAACATCATCTAGAACAGAACATTATGCGAGCAGAAGATCCTGTTAAAGCTAAAAAACTAACTGACAAAGAAAATTCTTTTCTTCGAATTCCTTACTATGATTTGACACAAGAAGAATACATTGGACAGGGAGGATTCGCTAATGTTTATCGTGGCAAATGGCTTTCTCGAGATCTTAAAGTAGCTATAAAAATTATTCGAGTTCAATATCTTAACGAAAGAGTTAAAGAAGACTTTATCAAAGAGATTGTGACAATGCAACAAATTCATTGCGAACATGTACTTCATATGTATGGTGCTTGCATGGAACCAGAGAAGTATGCACTTGTTATTGAATATATGTCTCTTGGCTCTCTTTACGATGTTTTGAGACTTCAGACAATAAAACTGACATGGTATAACCGTTGGTTGATTGCGCATCAAATAATCAAAGGTATTAATTATTTACATACACTATCAAAACCAATTATTCATCGTGATATAAAATCACATAATGTTCTGATGACGAAAAAGAATGGAGGTTTTCTCGTGAAAGTCGGTGACTTTGGACTAGCTAAGATTCGCCGCGAAACCTCACAACAGTCTGTGTATGAACCTGTTTTTGGTACTTTACCATGGAAAGCACCTGAACTACTTAGAATTGCTAGACATACTGAGGCTAGCGATGTTTATGCTTTGGGAATCGTACTTTGGGAACTAGCAACAGGATATGAACCTTACGAAGATGCTGACGATTCAACAATAAGTGCATTCGTCAGAGGAGGCGATCGATTAGATATTCCTATAGATGTTCCTGAATCTTTCGCTAAACTTATTGTCAATGCTTGGGCACAAGAGCCTAAACAGCGACCAACTTGTCAAGAACTTCTCAATATGTTCCCACGGAGATATTCTGAACCAGAAATCATCGACGAATTTACGGTAAGAGTGTGTGCTCATCCTTTGTATTCTGTTTCTTGTATTGTATACCAATAAGACGATACCACAATACAGTTATTTCAAAGTAATATTGAACAATGAGTTGGTAGTTCTTACAAATTATTGATTTCAGACACGTTTTGACCATTAATGCATCTAAAACTAGATTAGCTTACTATGTTTTGATTCTGAAGAGTTAAAGATCGACAATAATTAACGGTTTTTTGCTGGAAAATGTTCAGAAGTTTATGGAGTGTAACTGGAACCAAGCACGTTTATTTTCATGTGGGAAAGAATTGAATAGGCAAGTCCACACTATTGATAACAGTATGTTTATAGCAATAGTCTGAATATCTGAAATAAAAATACTATGTGAAATTATTGTGAAGTCTTTGCAAATTTGTTTTGAGGCGTATTGTAATATTTTAAATTTATAACTGTGCACAATTAATTTTGCTAATAATTGTGTGATGGCAAAGCGTCGTCGAGATTAAACAATTGCAATAGCTGATGAGCTAAATATATGATTAAGTCTTTATATATCCCTAAAGGACTGTACTTTTTTTAATATGTAGGTTATAATCTGCAAGTCATGAATAAAAATAAAATAAAATAATACTGAGAAACAGCTATGTTGTTACAATAGCATAGTAACCAATGATTAATGTATTCCTATTTCTATCATAGGATATTACAACTAGCTCTCAACGCTCAACACCGGTGAATAATGAAGAATTACAAAGTGTAAGGAATTAATTATAATCTTAACGGTCTATTTCAGTTTGATACTCTCTATATTAAGGATGACTATGATAACGATAATCACGAAATGTCAATGATTAACTTGATACAACCAACTACAGGTGAGAAATGATGTCTTTTTATATTTATAGTCGGAGTATCAATTAGAATTAAAGCTTAGTTGAGCTCAGAGAACTTCTTTCTGGTGAATAATTCAAAATTAATCTTTTTCTACAAGGATAAACTGTAGAAGTCATGAGGAAAATATCGACTTACTGATCGCGACTGGCCTAGATGCACTGTTCGTTACGTGATAAGGAGATATTAATTATCTGAGGCATAAATCACCAAGAATGTCAGTTACATGAGTGGATGTGTAGAAGTCAGTCATTATTTTTGTTTTTGTTTATAAAGCTATAATATGGGGTATCATACATTTCTTTTATCGGAATCCCTTTCTGAGTTTCTGATGTTTAAGTATTCAATACATAACGTAGATATATATGTTCAACTTACGTTAAGAAAAGGTGTACACGTTGAAGCATTCGAAAACAGCATCTTTTATATATGTCGAAAAATCTTTATTTCTGTTGTTTTTATACAACTACTATAAGAAGAAGTAAAAGTTAACTGATATTGAAATTTTAACACTGCATTCTAAGCAGATATAAATACAGTTCTAACTGAAAAATAGAAAAGAACATGCAAGTGGAAATGCTATACAGTTATATTTCATTAATTATTACTTATGTCTTTCAATGATCATGTAGATATTTGACATGATGGTTGTAAACCAAATTTTTTTTTAGACATAACCACTGCATATCAAGAAAAAGCTACAGCGCGTATTTCCCGGTTATCAGATATCTTTCGAACACCAAGTCGTATGCTTATGCCGATCCGTGGATATGAGAAGCTGCCACTAGTTTCTCTCGAAACCGCCGTCCAGCCGTTAATCACTCTTCTGCCCAAAATTCAACAATATGCTTATGTCGCTAAACAGCGAGCCGACGTAGCAACTGATGGTTTAACACAAGATGAATCAGCCTCGATCATGCTTTACTCGATGGATTGGGAACCATCAGATGAATGTCTTTATGCAGTATTGAACAAGAGTCTTCGATCAGAAAATCGAACACAACTGAAACCGTGGTTTTCCTATCTCAAACTCTTGCTCACTGCCCTTTCTCGTCTTCCATCTGAACGTATGACTGTTTATCGTGGAGTCAGATTAGATTTGAGTAGAGAATATCAAAAGGGCGCAACTGTTTTGTGGTGGGGCTTTTCTTCATGCACTACATCGATGGATGTTTTACGGCATGATCAATTTTTGGGAAATACGGGTGCTAGAACAGTCTTTATTATTGAATGTTATTCTGGTAAAAACATTCGAAATCATTCATATTTTGCGTCAGAAGAGGAAATTCTTCTTCCTCCTGCTACTCAGTTACGAGTTAAAAGTTGTCTGGATCAATCAAGTGGTCTTAAATTAATACATCTGGAAGAAACTGAATCACCTTTTCCTCTAATCGAGCCGATATCAAGTTCAGAAATTAACTTTGAACTGGAAAATACTGTTCAATCCTCATCTTATTCAATAACATCTTCGACGCTGCCCGGCGATTCGTAAGCTTTATCCTCTTAATATAGAAAATACTTAGTAGTTTATCTATTTCTCGTTCTATAATCCTTTTATTGAGTATCGATTAAGTAGAAAATAATCTTTCGCTCTACTGTTACTTACCAATTGTATTCTGCAAGAAAAAAA